TAAAAGCTTCCAGATGAATTCCATGAATTGGATCCTCAATAATCAGACACCCAATGTCAAACCACCTGCAATGACATGCAAATTACTTTAGAGTACTGAGTACCACGCAATTGAAAAACATGTTAGCAGTTGAACTATGACCATTTTACAAACTCTACGACAAATAGAGTAATTACGAGCTGGTGAGGTGGGTATGGGTGCAGATATGTTCTTTTGGCCATATTTATTGTGCTATAGTTTTCATTCAGTCTTTGGAATAATGTTTCTCATTAAGATAACCTTCCCTAATGAAAAAAAACAACCTCCATTTATCATTTACATTCTATATGCAGAAGATTTTTGGTATGTCTAATCCTATAACAATAATTTAAATTATTTATTCAGAGAAACACTTCTGCACCTTTCTGAAAATATGGTGCCTGCTGTGGCAGAGACAGTAAAGACTACTGAAGCAGTACCCGAAATGGTTCCCTATCTAGCCTGCAAAAACATTAAATAACTTCTCCCTATCAACAAACTAACAAGACTGACATGATCCAAATAAAACCAAGGGCAATGCGTCATCACTACCTCACTGTATTCAGTTCCCATAACAGTTTTACAGTTGAGTTGCCACAGGAGAAACATACTCTAGGGAAAGCATAAACACAAAATCAAGGCCAAGAATATAAAAGATTTAAAAAGGAAGATGATATCGTAGTTGTTGTTTCATATATATTATATATGTGTCTACATGTAAATTGTACTTTAAAGCATGAGAAGCAAGAAGGTTGTTATAAAAAGAAATGCAAAACTTCGATTTTAATAAACAACTGGCTGGGCCATATAAGCTTCACATTAAGTTTAGTGGAGCAAGACAGGAAGAAGTATTTCACTTGTATCATCTTCGTGCATGGGAACAGAGCACTGGAATGCTCTGTGATAGAGGACTACTTCGAGTATTTTAAGCAACATTTTCAGATTTAGGAATGAGTCAATTCGAACGACGAGAACAGCAATTACTTTGAAAAAGAGATCTTATTCTCATACTTACTCCTTTGTGGAAATATGATGAAATGTCTAAATCAGACTAGATGAAAATAAATACTAACCAAAAATTAAAGAACTTAGTAATTCTGTTTACTTGAGAAAATTCACCATCCATCTTCCACTAAGGATACTAAATGTACCTTTAAAAATTGAGCAAGAGCAGAGTATGTGTCAAAAAAATAAACCAAAGCCCATCACATGAACAAAAATGCAAACATTAGAGAAAAACTATTCAAGTTTGCATTGAGAAAAACATGACATTGTCCTTAATGTTTTGGAAATTAATTATAAAGCTACTTCAAGAACTGTCAGTCAAAAAGTATGTTACGAAATCAATTTGTAAGGTATTTGAGAACACCACTGTTATGTCTGAGCAGTGCAAATTAAAAGTAATAAGTACATTCTCAGTGATAGGAAAATGGATAATATATTACCTGATAAAATCCTATTACTACAAATGCCACAACATCTCCCAATATACTTTCTAAACCGAATACAATTTTGGAGAGAGTATGCACACAAGAGTGAGCAAACTACTAGCCAAATTCCAACTTTTACAGCTCCTTAATTTTGCCAGTTCAGGATAACTTCCCCGTGTTTGTGAGTCTTGAAAAACCTGACAAGGATTTTGTATATTAAAGTCTTGAGATGTCTGGATGAAAAGATGAATATCATCACCAAAATCAAGCCTGCTAAAGCAATACTGAAGACAGACTCTCTCCTTTCTTCTGCTTAGTCACACTGCTGGCAACTCTTTATAGGTCCCTTTGAGTCAAGAAAGAATATTCTTTCCCCGTCCCCCCTAGGAATATATTTGAAGTTCTCACTTGTCAGGAAGCAATTCCTCAATGAAACTTTCTACTGATACAGCAGGCTGTTTTTCATGTATTACTCCTGTCCGACGCAAGCTGTCTATTCTTTCTTGGGCTCCCTAAATGGTAACATAAGCTGTTAGGTAACATTCTCTTTAAATCATAACGTAGTGCAATGCTTACAGATGAATGCAAAAAGAATCCCAGAACATACCCTTCAAGTTCAACAGAAAATATGACAGATTTTGAAAGTTACTCTTATTTCAACATTAGAAAAACAAAAACCAAAACTCATGAAAAGCCCTAATGGAATTGCAAACAGTAACAAAAAATATGATAAAACCAATTAAATACTTTTAGTTTGTTATTTTTCCGTGAAAAAGACCTAGATTGGCATGCAAAGAATTCCTAACCTGTAACTGTGCCACTGTGCCAAGTTTCACTATTAGTTAAAGTATCAGTATATATTTCATGTTAGTCACACTGACATTTTTGCAGCTTAAGATTTATTGGGTTTACATCTTTTAAGAGCTTTGAACCAACTTTGTAAGTCTAATTGAGAGAATCTTTGTTGTGGTACCTATCCAGCTAAGATGTAGGAATCATTCACTCCAAACCTGTTGTCACTCTGAATTTGTAACAGAAATACTGCTACTACTACTACACTCCAGTAACTTAACAGGTGAAGGAATATACACATTATCGTCCTTTATCTCAATATAAAGTTGTATCAGCTAATACATTGCTACGAGGATATGCTTTACTCAGCTGTGAACACTGCCACAGCAGTTAGGAGAAAATACTTCCTTTTTAATGAGTAAATTATTTCCTTACTTTAAGAAACAGAATACGAAATAGTTGTTTTCAGGGTTTTTAAGTTATTGGCCAAAGAGGTGTTGCACCTAGATACACCTGACAAACGTGTACATTTTTAAAATCTGGTGAAACAACCTTCACTAACCCTTCCTCTGGGCCAGCACAGCTGTTTGAGAGACTGCACAGTGAATTCTTACTTTTCAAATACAACGTAGATCTGTGTGGGAAGACTCATGACAAGTGTTGATCAAACTGTCTTTGATCTACAGAATTAGCGGGGAGACAACTCAGTCTCAAAAAGTCTCTTTTAAAAGTTTCTAAAATTCCTAACATGGTGTGCTAGTAATATACTAAGAAGCAATGCCTGATATGCTTTGAAACTACAGTAATATCACAATATATGCTAGCTGTGATGGCAATCAATGACAGCATAAGAAAACTGACATAAATATTCTTCATTTGTTGAGAAAGCGTTTGCAAAAAATCCCCAAAACTATCTCAATAGGCAGCTTTAAACTGAACTAATGATCCAGATGACAATAAAAAAACCCCAATGAAATGTTTCCTATCTCACAAGCTGACCTTCCCTTTATGGAAAATCAGATTCCGAGTCAATGTTTCCACACTCGCGCTTTGCATTGGAGGTACTTTATTACTGTTACATATCAACTTACTTTTAAACCTGCAGCATAGCCCACAGGTTGGGGTGCAATGTTAGACTGTGCAGCCTCTCCAGTAACAACAGCCATTCCAAAGACTTCCTGAAAGGCATCTCGAATTGCTGCGACTTTTACCTCTTTAGTAGAAGTAACCACTATGTCCAATTCTCCCCCAGTTTCTGTAAAACACATATACAAACACATATGCACGTATTTGCCCTCATTCTCATTACAAGCTAGTTCAAATACATTCTAGATGGCAAGAGTATGCTTCAGCTGGTCTTCTTCCTCAGGCACTGTACAAAGCTTCTTTCACAAAGCAGAAGTAACTTAATTTAGCTATTCGTCTAACTTTTATTTCTTAAGTGATTCACGGATGAAAGACGGACAACAGGAACTGACGGTTGTTCAGCACCTGAAAAAAAGCACACTGCTCATTTAGGATGACAATTCATGGATTTAGGAGAATAACTCAGACATCCATTTCTAAGGATGTTTTGGGAAGCTGTAAGGAATGTTGGTGTGACACAAACTCTTCCTTACGAAAGGGACCAAGAACACAGATGCAGTTCGTAAAATCCAGTGAACAGCTGTCAAATTGCAGAAGCTTTAAAAGGAAGGCTCGCAATACTTTCAAGTTGTCCTTGGACTGCGAATTTCAGTATCATTTTATTGCCTGTCTGCCTCCCTACAGCTTTATCTTGGTTTTAGATATTAAATATCTATGGAACCAAAAGCTGTACATATTTCTGAATGATTTCCCTATGGCGATATCTCCACAAAGAAGGATGAGTTTTCATTAAGCTTTTTTAGAATAAACCAAAACAGTTCATGAATCAAAAGAAATCTAAAACTACTACGAAAGATTGATGAGCCCAATTATATCTCACATCTGTCTTTATTACAGATGGATCATTTTTATTGTCAAACTTAATTTATGCAAAACATGTCCTAAAACTTGTCCCTGCAGTGACAAGCTTTCTTAAGAACAGCTTAAACTTTTTTCAGACATGGAATATGACATCAGAAAAAGTTGGGTAAGTAAATTGCATCAGCAAGTGTAAAGGACAAATCAATGGACAACATGTCCATAAGCAGGCACTAAAAATAATAGGTATGGACATTATTTTACTGTTTACCAGATTTACTGTCATTTACATACAGTATCTCCTGTTGTTTCTGCTGAAGACAGAATATTGAGCTAGACATGACCACTAGAACAGAGCATTTCTTCTATGAGGAAAGACTGACAGAGCTGGAAATGTTCAGCCTGGAGAAGAAAAGGCTCAGGGGGATCTTGTCGATGTGTACACATATCTGAAGGGAGGCTGCAAAGAGAATGGAGCTGAGTTCTTTTCAGTGGTTCCCAGTGACAGGACCAGAGGCAACGGGCAGAAACTGAAACTGTGAGGTTTCATATGAACATCTAGAAAAATCTTTTTACTGTGAGAGTGGCTGAGCACTGGCACAGGTTGCCCAGGGAGGCAACAGAGTCTCCATCCTTGGAGATATTCAAAAGCTGCCTTGATGCAGCTGGCTCCAGCTGACCCTGCTGAAGCAGGGGGGCTGGACGAGATGACCTCCAGAAGTCCCTTCCAACCTACACTGCTTTGTGATTCTGTGATCCAGCAGGGCGTATCTTATAACAGCAGCAAGCTAGTGAAGAAACAGCCTTTTAACCTGCCATTTCCCAGGCCCACTGACTGCACAAAAACATGTTAAGTTACCTCTTAAAAGCAAAAAGAGCAGAGCCCAGTGGTTTTGTTTCCAAACACTAACATTCCACCTAATTACGCATGCTGACAAAGTCTGGGTATTTATCCTGATGTAAGAAAAATTCCTCCATTGATAATGACAAACTTGAAGATTAAATTTTAAAGAAAAGAACGATTTATTCTTTGGCTCTTACCACTTAGCAGACTTCAGTTACAGGAAACATCTTTTTATGAAGAATTGCCAGAGATATGCCAGAACAGTAGTAAAACATTTTATTTGGCTTTTAGGCTATTTTTAAGCTTTGTATTTATCAGTTGCTTTACTGAATGGAATTGGGTGTACACACCACTGAACTTCAGGGAACTGTTTCAAACAATGGGAAACAACAGGACTAAAAAATTATTGAGAGTATCCTTCTGGACAGAAATCAAGTTAACAGAAGTACAGAAGTAAACAAGTGCTTAAAATTGACTGCAGGCTTTTGCAGAAGTTAGCCTTGTTTGAGTGCCCTGTTAAAGAGTTTTTAATGCAACTAAAAACTAACTCATAACATACCCTGTAAATTATTGCATAGTAACTTAAGTAACTTAAGAATGGTAACTGTGTCTCATGTCTATGTACTGCAACAGCAGAATGCAGACTATGATCTTTTGTATTAAGGATCATAATATACTAAAAGCATATCTTTGTTGATCACAGATCCTACAGAAGGAAAATAAAGATATTACATCCATTAAAAGAAACATTTTGTGACAAGATCTGTCACATACTATGGTAATACGGAAATATTAAAACCTAAAATATAACAATTAGATATACTCTGGTAAATTCAAAGACAGAACTGTTGCATTAAGGTAAGATCTGACACTTCAACATGAAATTTCACTGTACATTGTGAATTATAAGCTGAAATGACAGTTTCACATACAATTGAAGATTCCCTGTCATCTTTTGTTATAAAAGCATTGATGTTTATGCTTATAAGATGACCATTTCCTGCACAGGCAGAAATTTGCTATTCCAGGGACTTGCCTCAATGACATCCTCACAATGTGCCAATGAAAACAGTTAAGCTCTTTTCAAGAAAGAGATTACAGAAATACTATTTATCACAGGAAAAAAAAATAATTCAACCACCTCATCCAGAAGCTTTGGTAATTTAAGGCTTTGGTGTGAGGAATCTGAAATTTGTTTTGAATTGCAGCAGTGGAGAGAGGGCAGAGAGAAGCAGGGCCACGTGTTGAGGACATGGCTTTTGTTGATCCCAGAAAACATTTTTAGAAGGAAATAAATACTAAGTTTACAAATCTCTGCCCTATTTCCACAATCTGCAACTACAAAAAAAAAAAAAACAACAATATATTAATGGTCAAGATGTATACAGATGTTTTCCCTTCTAACACAACTTCAGAGAAAATTGAGATAACCACTGAACTTGCTTACTCTAACTGAATCTTCCAAGCAAATTATTTTATGAGAATTACTTCTTCCTCTAGGTAATGTTGTTCTGTCCAATGAATACTATCCAAGCCATCATAGGATACTCATAGATTCTATTTTAAAAAGGGATGGTCAGGATTACAACAGAAACCTTAAATACAGTTCGTTAAATTGCGCATATTCAACATTTACTGTAACTTTGCATAACACCCTGCTACTCCTCTCAAATAACCTTCTCAGTTGCTAGCACCTGTTCTTCTCACCGATTTCATGTCTCACTGCGTCCTTACTAGTCAGCTGCTGGAATATTTTCCCTTAAAGGTAAGACAATTAACTACTATTCAATAATTAGATCATTTTCCCCTTTTATTCTACATATTGTCCACTGGGTTAGTACAACAGTGCAGCAACATGGTTAGCTGGATCGCAGAATGGGTCCAGCTGAAAAACAGCTCAAAAAAACAAAATGCAAAAACATTTTTATAGTTTCTTCTCAGCCTTATCGGTTTCCTGACCAGCTTCACCTACATGCAGACAAAGGGGTAGTACTGGCACTACACTAAGAAGAAGCACTGCTTACCAGACTGCTCGATGAGGAAAAAAATACCAAAAAAACTCTAAATAAGAGAAACTCAAACCACCACTCTAGGCTCAATGCTCAGCAATACTTCAGACTTCATTAGACCATTTTAGCATTTTAATGTTCTCACTAACTTCAGGAACTGCTTCAAGTTTGCCATATTTCCTAAACGTAGTATAAATACTATTAGGCTAGAAAAGTGGAACAGCTAGAATTCAGAAGAAAACTATGTAAATATCTCTGTCCTATCCCTCTCTGAGCAGATCTACCTTTCAGCTTGTTTTAACTTTAATGTAATAGCTTACACAGTAGTATTTAAGCATGTGATCCAACAGAGCACATACACTGTATTTTAAACTCAAATCCATAAAGCTTAAATAGAGACACAGTGGGAGAAAACAGCATGCAAATTAGGGATTATCGACAAGGTTTCCTCATTGGTTTTTTTTTCTTTATAAGTACCTCATCTTTCACAATCTGAATTAAAGGGTATTACTATGCCACTATCTGAACCATAGTGGAATAAAAAGTCAAATGAACCTCAAGACATACATAAAAAGTCAGCATCCTGAGTGAGTTTGACTGGAAAATACACTTGAGAAATTAGTACAGTACTGTGACTTTGAATTAACACACCACATATACAAACTTCTAGCATAAAAGTAGTGTGTTATTATATTAACCTCTCTAACATTTACATGTATTACTTAATGGTTTGTCACACATACTTACTGATATATGGAACCATGCCAGGATCCAGCGTTGTGATCATCGTCTCCACTGAATGTTTGGTTTTATCAAGAACAGACTTCACCATGGGATTCTCAGCTACTCCCTAAATTTAAGCAAACAGATTCAAAATGTTACAGTTAAAAACCAAACTAACAAAAAACAAATATTAAACTGCTTTGTGTTTTTCTTACCACATTTATGCTTTGTAACACCTGTTGTATCTCACTTGTCAGCACAAACGCTACAGGATACGACTGGCAGTGCATGACTTTTCAGTTACAACATAAAGTTCAAATATCATCTTTACCATCCTCTTCTGCATTAATGCAGAAACAGTCCCATCAGCCAAGGTGGGCAACACACTTGATCTAGTCCTATTCTAGGACCAGAAGCATTAAGCATACAGGAAAGTTGTAGCTTCCCAATGCTAATTATAGGTATCATCAGACTAGGTAACTATGTTTAGGCTGTGATAACTCAAGCTGAAGAGTCTCTCTTTTGTAACTTTCTTAAAGACTATAGGATCTGTTTTCGAATGTTCTATTACTAACAAGTATTTCTAGACCAATTGAGCTGAAAGTCCTCAATTTATAAATAGATTCTAAACATTGTCAGAAAAACGTTCTATGTTCTCCAGCCAAATCATAGGTAGAGCTGCTGATAGACCTAAAAGTTCATTAAATATAAACACAAACACTGTCTCATGTCCTGCAAATAGTCTTAATGAATGCCTGTATCTTGTCAAAAGTTTCTTTAAATTCAGATTAGATCACAGGGTGAAAGAAGAAAGATATAAATGCTGAACCACTGAGAGATAAAGCACTGGAAACTATTTTATAGAAAACTTTTATAAAATGTCTTTAGTAAACAGATTGCTTACAGTCTAATATTAAAACTGCATATATTTGTATTTGTTTCACTAAATGATAAGCATTACACAGGACAGCACTGTGCACATACATTTTTCCAGAAAGCGCTTGCTTAATACACCTACACAGTATTTCAGAGAACTGCAGAATCAGAGTAGTTTTAATTACCTCAGAATAACTGTTGCTCAGGAAAGTCCCTTAAGTCATAAAATGGTTTGGGTTGGAAGAGACCTTAAAGATCACTTAGTTACAATCCCCCTGCCATGGGCAGGGACACCTTCCACTAGATCAGGTTGCTCAAAGTCCCATCCAACCTTTGAATGCTTTCTATTTCTTAACAGAAAACAATCTTAATGAAGAATATAAGCCTCAACACTTCTACAAGTATTGTATAGATACTAATAATGATTATCTTATCCCATGCCTCACACTGAAATAATTCACTTCTGGCTTCAGGTACTCTTCTCACCACTGTGCAGAATACTAAGCATGACTGTAGAATTTGATAAAGAAAACAATTATTCACTCTAGCACAATTAAGCTTTTTCAAGCCAGAGCCCACTGTAGCCACTTGTTTCTCATGAATATAACACAAGACTTTTCTGAATGGTAGCATTCACTGAGTAATACATATACTCTTGTGACTACTCATGTACCCACAGGATGCCATCAAGAACAGGGAATTTTACATTCCTCCTTCAGCTCTCTCACAATTTGAAGTTTGTCTTTTGTTTTAATAAAAACTGAGTGAATGCTATGGGATCCTTAGAAACATTTTAAACAGGAATTTCCAGTTCTAGCATCTTTCCAGTAATGCAGAACCAAGCAGTACTTCTCCATTCAGCAGCTTGGCTGACTAACTAACACAAAGTCATTATACATCTCCTGCAGATAATCAGCCTCCTGAACAGGAAGAAGCTGCTTCTTCTGCCTGTGGAAGACGCCTTTATATTCATCAGCCTAGCTCAAGCAGGGAGAAATAATCCATAGTTTTATACCAACCCAAAATATGAAGTTACTGTGAACCATAATGCAGTTAAGTTTGGAATTTCTACCAAGTCAATTCTAAGTCAACATAAATCCAAACAGCTCAAACGGAGAATCTTCCACGTGGGCAGAGCGCAGACACAAATCTTTTGAAAATTCAGGTCCTGGCTGTCTTCATTGCTCAAACAGTTAAATATGCAAGCTGTTGGGTGCAATGACTGTACCCAACCATACTACAATAGTATCCAACTTTGCCTCTGATACACCATGTAGAAACCAACCTTGGAACTGCTATGAGACTGCTCAGCCATCTTTGACAGATCAAAGGAATTGAGTCAGTCCACTCGATTCTAACTCATTAATCCGTCAATTTTAGATTGCCACAGTTTTGGAAATTATTGAGTTTGAAGAAAACCTAGAAGAAAGGTGTATGATTTCTTAAGAACACTAGAGGAAAAGGGTATTCAAGCATCTTCAAGAACAGAAATAGAGATAACTGCTGCAAATACTATGTAAGCTCTTCAACAGGGAATTCAGGATGCATTTCTGTAATGATTACCAGTTAGTCTTCCAGAGTCCAGCTGATCTTTAAAAAACATAGTCTGATGTGTGCTTACACACATCAAGAATTTGATGGCTTCTGTATAATTAATGATTCCTCATTCTACCCAGGAAATTCTCAAAAAGAGATCACTGAACACACAGAGCACATAGAATGCTGAATACCTCAACCAAAATTCAGATTTTATTATTGCAGTCAATGATACAGATCTTCTCCATAAATAGAAACAGGACAACTTTTGGATTCTACTGGTATAAAGGCAACAGTAATGTGGATGAGATTGGCTTTCCAACTAACTTGCAGTTGCAAGCTCTTGTACTTTCAAAACAGCTACAGAATCACATTACAAGAAAAATTTTCGCTCTGGATCATTACCATCTATTTCAATATTAAAAGGAATATGATGACCGAGAGAAGGACATTATTAGTTAAAGGAAGAAAGATGATGTGTTTTTACGGTGAGAAGATATCTATCCTTGAAAAGGACAGCACGACAACTCTGCTCTCACCATACTGAAAGAGCATTCATCTTGCTCTTTAAGACTGTATCACTGTCAAGAGGTGCATTCCTGAAGTAAGAGAGGGCTCAGTGTGCCGTGTTGCACACAACTTTTTCTCTCAGCTTTTCATGTTCAAAGGGCTTGAAAGTCCCTCTGAAACCCCATTGGGACATCAATCCTTTTGATTCTTCCTTCATGTTTAGTCTGAGACAGTACAGAAAATGGTGTTGCTCTTGAAGACAGTTTAGCATTCATGCACAGTGCTTAGATCTTTTTGCCACAATCTTCACGATGCTATTTATACGTAGCATTTGTCATGGCTCCAAAAAGGTTACAAGCTAATGAAATTCTACTAGTTGATGTTGCTGCTTATTTTCTCTGTATGGTTAGATAGCAGCACAAGGAGTATCTGTTCTGCACTATATACTCCATGGCTTCTAGAAGAACAGAAAAATTCTACAAAATATCTTAGACACTTCATCAGTAAATTGTTCTTTGGTGGTAGGAATACGTATTTGTCTCTTCTTGAAGGGACTTGTTTGTTACAGAACAGGCAGGACTTGCACTCCAGAGAAATCAAACTCAGTTCATTAGGAAACGATAAAGATGCAAAGAATTCTGGTAAGGTAAAACAGACCATGTTTTTCTGCATCCAGTCACTGTGAAGTAAAGACTAGCTTTCAGGTGTTAAAGAGGTTCTAAAGCTTCACCTGATTTAAGAACACATCACAGAACTTGTTAGGTGCAAATATCTTCCTCTCACAAGCGCTACAATTAACCTAGAACACCTGCATTTGTGTAGTCCTCTCTCTTCCATACAGAAGAAGAGCAAAAGCATAGTTTCAGCAACCACCACTATTAAAAACAGCGACCTTGCACATGAGGCCAGAGAAAAGACAGGATTTATAGCAACACACGTTTAAAAAATAAGATATATCTTACTATAGTCAGTAAAAAATGATAATTCCTCATGTTCCTCATGTAGAGTAACAGACAAAACTCCATACCTTTATAAACCCCCAGAGTCCTGAAGCAGGGGCTCCACCTTGGGCATTAGATACTCTGGGGTCTTCACGTTCCTCAGGAAAAGTGATTGCAGAACCAGTTCCAGGAGCCAAAGGTGATGAGAAAGTTGCTTGTTGAGTAATAGGATCTGCCAAAACACCTAGTAAGAGAGAAAAATAACACACAAGTGTTCATCGACTTTAGTGCGTTTGTTATACTGTAGCAATATGCAATTGTTTAACAGGAAAATGAGTAGGAAGAATAGAAGAATACTGGGCTGATTCACTTCGTGTCTTGAAGGCCCCAGAACAATTCTGTTTTTTAAAGGTTAGCAGATACAACTACTGTAAATAAGTTCAACAATATCTGCTAATAGAACTGAGACTGCCTGTACATTATGTATAAAATTAAACAATGATTTTTTTTCTTAGCAGGTTAGTTTAACAGTGGTGCTTTTTATTGTATTCAAATTTTCACAATAAGCGTTCAGTAAAGGAAAAAGAGGAATGGGTGTTGCTCTCTGAACAAAGATAGGAATGTTCTCATATCTAACAAAAGAGAAAGAAGTAGGAAGTTTTCTAACCCTGAGTACTGGAAACTAGTAGCAATAGAAAAAGGAGCAAGCAAATGAATAGCTTTATGTATTTTAAAGGAAAACAAAACCAACTCAAACAGTAGAAGATTTAAGCATGAGCCTTCGCCCTATTACTCACGACTGTTTTAACAGATTTTTCAACACTAGCCTTAATCAGGAGTTACTTTTGTTTTACACTGCACAATTGATAGGTCTTTTTAGGCACTTTCCTAATACAGATTACTTCAAACAGCCTGGCCCAATTGCAGTTGAAGAGCCAAGTTTCCATTCCACTAGCAGAAAATGACATCAGTTCAAGAACTACAGCAATTGCTTGCATGGAAGGTATGTATTTTTAGCTATCCTAATGCAACTTAGTGGCTGGAAACAAGAAATAGAAGCTGGTGTCATGTGATGGACAGTTTGTTACAGATAGCTTTTCAGAACAAAAACCTGAAAATTACAACATTACAGCCTTAGATATCATACCATTCTGTGGAACTATAATGGCTGAAATTGACTCTCTGATCTAAACAAATGACATATATGTTCATGTTCATTCTGCTGGGCTTTCTTGTGCAAGTTAACAAAAAAAGCAGCTCTCAAAAGATTTTTCTGTGAGCCTGAACATTAGCAGAACTCTATTATAAAGAGGAATCTCTGTCCTAGACCATGACTGTATTTTAAAGGCTACTCTCCCCTCTTCTGAGTGCAGCTACATGAATTAAGTATACCCAGAATAATAAAGAAGCTGAACTTGCAGTACTAGCAGAGTGGTGGAAAAAGCCACTCAGAAGATCCCTCATCCTGTCTCACAAACACAAAAGCATACGAATGAAACGTTACCTGTGACTGGAGGTGCAGAAAATGACGGCATCAGTGGGCTCTGTGGTGCTCGACCAGCATGACCTCTGGTAATGTCATAGGTTGAAGACACAGAAAATCCTGAAATTGGGGGACCAGTAGGAGGTGCTGGAAGACCAGGGCCAGCAGCAGAGCTTAATGGAGGAGGTGTAGAGAACTGGGCCATTGAGGTACTAAAAGCTGAAGGGGCAACAGGAGGTGCAGCAGGAGTTAGAGGTGGTGCAATAGTAGAAGCCGTTGCAGAAGGCACCAGTGGAAGAGAAGCTGAAGTCATCATAGGAGGAGGAAGTGGAGACACTCCAGATGGCAAGGGTGGCGAGTACGCGGGAGAAGATGACATGCTTGCTGTAGCAAGGGGACTGGATAAAGCTAGGAAAAAGAGAAAAAAGGAATTTTAGAAATGGTGAGCCTTAATCTCAGAGGTTCAGTTATGTAATTGTTCAGATATTTTACAAATAAGTTTTGACCAGGTCTGCTTTTTAACCTTCAAAGTGAATTTCAGTTCTGCTTGTGTTTGCATACAACACCAATTGCACCCAATTTTTGGTGACAGTATCTTGTAAGCCACATCTTTTTCTTGCATGACACTATTTGTCATAATCTAAAAAAAGACGAGCCAATATTTGACTACTGAATTTACAGCAGCTGAAGTCTGCCTCAGAAATTTCTAACTTGTGGGAAGTGCCCATCTTTAAGAATAAAACTCACTGTATTATGAGTACACTCCTAATACCTGGGTGGGTAGGAGCTACTTTAGAGGTATGGTCCTACGAGATGGGCTGAGCGCCAGGCAGCCCTCTCTTCCCTCGCACCCAGCCTCCTAATCCCTCTGCTTTCTCTATTTCAGTCTGGCCCTCAGTTGATCCTTGGATAAGCCAATTTTGCTCTCTAAGCTAAGTTTAGCCAGAAAATTAAGTAAATAAAAAACAGAAATCACCATTTTGATGGGAGTAAGCTGTTGGATCAGCTAAAGCATCTCACTAGCCTCAGTGTGAACATCAATGATGGTCAAATGACATGCCAAGTTGCACTAAAGCAGTTGCCTCCAAGCTTTAGCACACACAGCTACCAGTAAAAAATTTTTGAACCTGTAACTCCCCAACGGACTTGCAGGCAACTGTACAGCAAACCTCCTGCGCCCTGTAATTTGTTCTAATACTTGCTTCTTCAAATCTTCAACAATACTTTCTATGCATCTTCCAACAGTATTGGCTGACAAATGCATTTTATTTTGTCACCATATTGTTTTCCATGTATTATTTCAGACGATATTACCATGTGAGGAAGAAAAAGTGTTTCTCCAACGTACGTACGTTTTTGTCTTCACTATTAGGTAAGAAATCTCCAAAGAGGCTTCTAAAGATTTATCTTTAAGTTCACTGAAATTTTTTAAGTCCTGACTGAGTACCGTAAGACTTGGAACATTACAAAAAAATGTAGAGGTTTGTTTCCATGTTCTGCTTAGTTTTTAGATGTTTTGCTAATCATAGTGGCTTCATACTATCCTTAGCTAATACCTCAAGACACAATACATACTTAGGGCAAGGTTCATCATTAACAATGGTGGATGTAAATTTATATTTCAAATAGTCCTCTTGAAAATTTTGCAATTTTTTTGGCCAACTATTTGTCAAATCTGATTAGATTGTCTGCAACTGTTTTTACCTCATAATATGGCTAAGAGCTCATACTAGGAGTCAGAGTAGTACCAGTTCTTTCATTTTCTTGTTGTTTGCTTGCACTTGCAATATTAGCAGTATTTTCAATCAGTGGTCTCTTTGCAGGCATCATTTTTAAGTTATTTGTCCATTTTGTGAGGTTTAGCATAATCAAAACTAGATAACATAATCCATGAGTCCACTTAAGCAGGCACAAAAACTGCAAGGCATTGCAACATGATAAAAAGAGCAAACTAGTGAGGGTGTCACTGTCAACACCTTTGTACTGTAGAAGTCCTACTCTTCCCTCAGGACATGTGAATGTCTGACATATGGACCAACTGAGTAAGGATGCTAGTGTCAGGGAGTATATTTACTACTAGTAAAGCTTAATTTCTTCAGTATTTTTTAGGAAAAAAAATAATTATGGCAGTGCTAATATTTTCTTCTGACATCCCAATGGATTGCCTGGCACACTCCCTGGGGCAAGGGCAGTCCACTCTGGAGTCCACTGCACTAGTGTGACTCAGATCGCAATACCAGATGCGTCAGAAAATTAAACATTTCGTCTTCAGAATATGGTGTTCAGATTCTTGAGAAATCAAATAAAGTGCTCTCCTCAGTACCCATAATATTAAAAAACAAGTGATTATCCAGGCTTACCACTATCTCCTATGAGACTGTAAATTTTTTTTGTTTTTTAACTCCTTTCTATGCCACTCATCTAACTGTGCACTGTAATGGAAGGTATTATTTCCCTGCCCCACATCCTTAAAAACCACAGTGCATCCACGTGACCTCAAAAAAAGTTTCACAAATAAAAAAAGCATTTAAAATATTCTGTGTGTCAGATAAGAACACCACTTTCATGATTAAGAAACAATTTGAATTGTTCCAATTAGTCTGGAGAAGAGCACTGTAATTATGCTGATGGCAACGTTTCTGGATGAATTCCTGTGCTTCAAAAGACATGAATAAACATGACCAAGTTGCTGAAGCAGCTTCTGTACCTGAGACAGGTGTAGCAGCAGCAGCAGCCCCTGCTGTGCTTGGTGGGGGTGTGCCAGGTGGAGTTGTCTCTATTCCACTCTCTTCCATCATTTTCCTTCAGTTACAAAAAGCTGTGAGGGAAAAAAAAAAAAAGCGTTATCTTGAAAAACAAGGGAAAAAAATTAAATTAGAATGTAAAGGCCACAACAGAGTGATCTATATCCCTGAATAGAGAAGGTAATTCAAATACCAGCTACTGAAAAAAGGAGAAACTTGATTGATCTCAAGTACATACTTATCCAGTATGTCTCATTTTGCCTGTATCTTCCCTTTATTTTTAGCACTGTGGTAATACCTCAAACTCCAAGCCTCTTTCTAAAACCTTGCTGTGCACGCCCAGTTACTGCTTCCAATACATACTGGCCGCACTTACATGAGTAATAATGGAGAAGTAATTGCACATCACAAAACCCATACCCTATTGCAAAAAAACCCTCAACTACAGGGTAGTATTTTGCTGCTTGACTGAGCTGCAGTAACTCAGACAAGGACCTGTTATTTTCAGAGCTGATGCATGACAGGATGCAAAACGTGGCAAGGGGCAAGACAGAGGACTGAAATCTCACCCTTCTAGTAAAGAAGAACCACGACTCCCCAGGAAGTTGTTGCCCTCTTGGGTTTAAGCACTTCAGCAGACGCTCCTCCACAAGCACATGCATCTTGCTGAACACCATGAACAGCAGCATAGCTCAGGAGTCTTGAGCCTGTGACCTAAGCTCTAACCATGACCTTGCCTACCTTAAAGCAGAAGCATTTTGGGGTCAGCTAAATAAATCTCCAGAAAAGTCAAATGAAACCAGATGAAATTCACTTCCAAAACGAATAAAATTACATTGAAATTAATTTACATTGAACAAGTTTTCCAGTACAGACAATTCCTGTAAAATCCAAACACCATACTGCTCTGGTGACATTATCAGAAGTGAAAGCAAATGAAAACGTTGGCTTTTATTTTGAAAGCCAGATTATGCTGGAAGCATCTTTTAACATCTTTGAGTAAACCTTTAAAATATACTACTTCTGGAAAAGCAAAGCTATATGCTTATTTAAGAATACTAAATTAATGCAAAAGGCCTTAGGAGAAGAAAAGAAGAGGAGAAAAAATTAAGACTTTCAAGAACATCTGCAGATTTTTGTTCTTCAGTGCAGAGGCCACTAACAAAACACTCTGCTTCGTCCTAAGTCTGGTAAACTAGAGGGCAACAATTTGTACCACTCCCTGAGGTAACAATTCTTAAGGAAATTTTAAGAAATAAAAATCTCATATGAAGTAATTATATGTACGAAAAATAGACAGACTCAAACATATTTTCCACCATAACCATTACATCAGCAACTGCTGAGGGCTGCCAACTTATTCCCTTTAACAACTTACAGAGGAAAAGGCTTAGATAATGTGTTGGGTGAAAATACACATGTATATAAAGAAAAACGTCGTTTACAGAAATACAGGGCTTTTCCTCTCTTTCAAAAAAGAACTCTCATTGCCTCATTGCTGTTTTAAATGCACATATAACTCATAAGTCTAATATGGAGGAAAAATTACTGTTATTAATGAATAAAAAAAAAAAAAGTAGGATGCCAATGTTAGTTTTGACAGGCTTAGAGTCTCAAAAACAAATGAAAGCATCAAAATCACTTAGGAGACATTATAGTCCCTCTGACAAACCAGTATGCTTTGCATAAGTGACTCAAGACTAAGGGTTTGAGCCCAGCCTCAGAAAGCAAGTAAGTGTGGTTATGTGCAGCACTCTTCATGAAAACTCTTACGTTCTGAGCACCTCTTCAATTCATTTAAAAGCTTCTCATCAGATGGGATGAAAGGGTCAGTAATTGCCTGGTGGGAACAGACTGTCCTTGCAGAATGAGTACATCTCATCATCCCTTAGAAAGGAACCACAGTCTTCCGTTAAACTTCACTAAGCGGAAGAATTTGCAATAATAAGATTTTGTCTTTTAATCAAGATACAGGAGTTTACATTCCTCCTCACAGAAGTATTCCTAAAGTCATTCTTCTTCCAATTATACACTGCAAAGTAAAAAAGAATTTTCCATTGTGCAACTAAAGTAATCACTGTCCAAAACCTCCTAGAAACATCTTATTTTATCAAGGCTCTTTCAATCTGCTGCTTGATTTCATCTAATGCCATGATTAAAAACTTCTGAGAAGTGCTCACTACTTAAAATAAATACTCTGGCCATTTAGAATGACTGAAAAAGTTCCACAGAGAAACTTTTCAAAGACTCTGTGCAAAGTTTTTTCAAAGCTTCACAGAGCTATTAAAGTTTCAGGGTGAGGGTAGGCAACAACCCCCAGAAAGTAACCTTACTGACATCTGGAAAGTTAGGAATGTTAAGGACATGGAGCTACTGGAACGATTCCAGAGGAGGGCCACAAAGATGATCCCAGGGCTGGAGCACCTCTGCTATGAAGACAGGCTGAGAGATTTGGGGCTGTTCAGCCTGGAGAAGAGAAGGCTCTGGGGTGATCTTATAGCAGCCTTCCAGTACTTAAAGGGGGCCTACAGGAAAGCTGGAGAGGGACTTTTTACAAGGGTATGTAGTGATAGGACAAGGGGCAATGGATTTAAACTGAAAGAGAGTAGATTTAGATTAGATATAAGGAAGAAATTTTTCACTCAGAGGGTGGTGAGGCACTGGAACAGGTTGCCCAGAGTTGTGGATGCCCCATCCCTGGAAGTGTTCAAGTCCAGGTTAGATGAGGCTTTGGGCAACCTGGTGTAGTGGAGGATTTCTCTGCCCATGGCAGGGGGGTTGGAACTAGATGATCTTTAAGGCCTCTTCCAACCCTAACTATTCTATGATTCTATGATTCCACGAATTAGTAGAAATATAATAACTCTGTAGTTGCTTTCCTCTTTTAACTTTACAACGAGAAACGTGAAGTGAGCATTAAACCGAAACAGCAATCCCAAACTTGGGAAAATTATGAGCCAGTTGCTGAAATATCATGATAAAAAACCCTATGGAACTGACTTGAAAAGCAAAAATCAGTAGTTTCACTTTTTCTCCTCTCACTTGTAAGCCTCTCTGGGAAAGTCAACTGTCTGCAAATCCATCCTGGCCAGGAGATGGACGCTTGAGAGTGTAATCCTGCCAGTTGTAGGCCTTATTTCCATTCCATTAGACTTTGCAGGTCCAGGTACACACCCCTAGGCAATGCATTCCAATAACCAATAATCAATTGGCTTTTGCCACTACCTGGGGAAAAGAAGACCTCTGCCTACCTTTTGCTGGAAGAGTAGACAAATTTCTTTATTATCTTACATAACGCACAACCACAATAGCCTGTAGTATCTTCCTCCCACTCTCAGATTTTTCCTTCACTCTTCTCTCTTTCCATCTACCTGTCCCATGCCAATCAGAAAATCCTGAAGCCTAAACGTTCCAGTATTCTTTTCCCTTTAGCTTACCCATCCCCTCACAACCATCAATCTCATTGTGAACTCCTGACCTGGCAGGGACTAACATGAAGCTTCCTATACACTGAATAACAGCTTCCTATACACTGAATTCTCAACATAAGACAGCTGTAGTTTGCACATGCTGCACGAAAAAGCATAAATAATTTAGAAAAATAAGGTTAAGCAGAAAGAAAAGACATGGGAGGAGGGAATACACAAAAGGAAGAGAAAGTTAAAAGTACAATAGGTGTAACTGGAAGCTAATAGCTCATCATGTTGAAAGAATCCAGCAATACATATAATTAAAACTGATCCTACAGGATATAAGGTTTACCACTTGAATCTAAATGGCCTACCTGAAACCAGTTATACATGAGCAACTGTGAAGCAATGGGGTGGAAGATGATGGAGGGGAGGGTGGGGGCGGGAAACAAGCAATCCACAGGCTTTAACAGTGTTCAGTCCTCAGCAAAGTTTCTAATGAGGGTTTCCAACTTGCCTTAGGGGAGTTCCAGGGAGGAAGTTCCCCAGTAAGATCAGCCTACAAATCCTTAATGACTGCTAGGCGTGGAACCGGACTGTCTTTTCAGCGATTTAAAAAAAAAAAAAAGGAAAAAAGAGAGATAGTAAAGAGTAATAGTTCTTCGCACTTCAAGCCACAAACGCATAATTTGCAGCAAGTAGCACCTGAAAATTCCGTCTAACCTCTTAAGAAGTGACTTTTGTGCCTTCTTGCAAACTTGAACATTTTGTACTACTAAATTCAAGAGACAAAGGAGAGACAAAGTGAAGCATGTGCAACTGGGTCAAAATAAGAGCAGTACTGCCATCTAGTGATTTGTGATCATAAATTGATTTCACAAATTGGTCACATTTAGTTAGAAGAAAATCTTGTCTTATGCTTACACGAAAGTAAAAAAGACGCGATACGGAAAACAGAAATACAGAAAACCACAGAAGAAAAACCCATTGCCAATGATCAGTCATCCTTAAAATCCTTTAAGAAGTAGAAGTGTGAATTTTGTTAGACTTCCACGAATTATTAGATTAAAAAAAACCCCAATCCTTGTCAGTACTAATGAAGACACTATAGCAATGATGTTAAACCTACATTACACAAAGAAAATACTGTATACCCACAAGGTGTATCCCTAGTTGACTGGTAACTATATTTTACCGATTCTCACCAGCTAAATCTCCTCCATTAACCTAAAGCCAAATCTCAGTTATTAACCCAATTCCCAAATGCAAGGCTGTGAATATTGAAGGGAAAACTAAGCTAAAGTTCTGACCAAAAATTTTAAAAGGTCTCATGTTAAAAGCACAAATTAAATAATTTTATTTAGAGACTAAAAGGCTGAACTGGCACATTATTCATCTTTTGACTTAAGTTTAATAGGATGTATTACATCTGTAGTAATATTTTGCAACAATCTTAATGACATAACCATATGTCAATAGCATTCTTCAGGTTATTACTCTAAAACATAGAAATTCACAGTTAACGATAAGATTACCTACAAATGGAGATTAGCAGATTTTACATGGATGAAGCTACATTATCCAGAAATCAGTCATACTTCAGAGTTTATAACAAGGCCATATTTTCAGTCACCCTTAATTAAC